TGGCGGAGCTTCGTGTTTTCGCGGTCCGGCCTGAGCGTTGCAGTGATTGGAGCTCTTGTCGCGCCGGAGGACGGTGCTCGCCTTCTAAGAAGTTAAATAACGTGCAAACTCTGGCTTGGTCGGCCTCTTAACGTGTCCAGCACTCTGCTAAATGACCGTAAAAATATGAAAAATCAGGTTTACAAGCCGTCTGCGAAGTAATTATATGCCAGCCACTTCAGTGTTGGTGGGTGGGTTTTTTTTCTTTTACATCTTTATTTACAAAATTGGTGTCTGATATACCCAATAACGTTATCTTTGTTACTTTTCTTGAAAAGTAATATAGAAAAACATAGCACAGTGTCTGCTTTATAGCATTTTTGTACTTTGAACATGCGTCCTTAATGTTAGCAAGTCAGAACCTCTCTGTACAAAAACTTTAACTAACGTGTAACAGCTGTACACAAGTAACTAGTCCTGGCGAGGTCAGGTTATGTTTATACCATCATAGCCCATCTGGAAACCAACCGTTGTAAGCCTTGTTTTGCATTTGTTCAGCTGGGCTGCAGGAAGGGTTTGTGATGAGTAATTGTGTTTTCTGTACTTCTTATGGTAATTTGTCTTTCTCGGTTTGAAGAAATCGAAGTCAGTCCGTCAAAGGAAATAAACCGCCTGTTCCAAGCCAGAGTTAGAATTAAAGTTCAATGAGTTTTCTACTCCTGAAGCAGTTGAGAGGGGTAAAATATGGAGACCACTTTTAGGAAGCTTAAGAGCAAACAGAAACTCCTCCAATTACAATGGTTGAATTTAATTCTGTGTGTTAAATTCTTTTTATGTATTTCTGAAGTTGTGCATGTTCGTATTCCTCTGGAATACTCTCTAAGAAACAGTGGTCTTATTTCTCTGTGGATTCATTGCACATGTAATAGGTCACGTATGATTTTTCCTATGACTGCGTCTAACAGAAGTGCAAAAGCATCTTTCCCTTCCCCTGTATACCGTGTAAGGTACCTGAGCGTTTGTGGACGCTCAGAGCTTGCCACTGTCCTGTAAACTGTTCCAGAGGAGCTTGTTCCCTTGAAGAGTGAGTGCTGAGCTGTGTTCGGATTCAGGCTGAAGTTGCTGATGGTATCAGCGATAGCTCCCTACACTTGCCTGATAAAATACCTCACCCACTGTACTGGTTTATCAGTTCTGTCTGTACTGTTTCCTCTAGGTTGTGCAGTAGAGGTCTCCCTGGCTGGCTTTGTTTGGGTATTTATGCAGAAAGAGCCTTTACAGAGTACATAATCACAGAATTTGCTTTGATATTCCGCATAAGCTATGTATCATCAGTAATGCTCTGGACTTGTGCTTCTGCTTGTACAAAATACACTTGCAAAGGGATTTGCTCTTGCTGCAGAGTCAACTGCGCAGTTTACCCTGCTGTTAAAAGCTGAGAAGTGCAACTTGTGTGCTACTAGAAAAAAAAAACAACTTCAAAAAAAGAAAAGTTAAAATGCTGCTGCTGCTTTTCACTACTTACTTTAAGCAAAGAGGAAACAAAAGGTGCCCTGTCCAACAAACTCACTTTTGACCTCTGGTGTGGAGCTAAATCGATTTTCTTTAAGCAAAAAAGCTGAATTGATTCTTATTTAAATCCACGTACTGTATAGTACATTGTCCTAATTGATGTGTATACCTTAGCCACTTGCTCTTACTCAGCAGACATGAGGGTTGCTTTGTTTGTTTTTAATTGCACTTTGCAGCCTGATTTTTCTTACAGACAACATAGTGTCAGAGGATATTTGCTGCCAGCAGTAGTATACAATTACTGTTTTCCTGGCAGGAGAAGTTACCCTTAAAGTCATTACTGGATATGTTTATTAATAAAGATGTTTTAAAAAGTTAACTATGAACAGAATTGAACTAGGTCTTCATTTTATTCATTCAGACCCCAATGTGGCCCTTTTCTGATAGTGCCACAAAAGTAAGCAGCAATGTTAAGCATATTTGCTAAGGCTTCTTTTTCACAGTCTACATATCTGTAGAGTGAAGAGAATCACTCCACAATATTGTGCAAAGCAGGTGGCATGCCATTTAGAAAATACAGTTTTTGAGGTCAAACCCCACAATTTTCTTTAGGACAAGTAGAGTTCTTTTTTCCTGATGAGGTGTCTTTAGTTCAGTGTTTCACATGTAAATAGTAGAGCGTTCTTTAAAATCTAGACATCTCCTTCAGTGCTGCTACCCGTTTCCAGTCTAATTATGTTGGGTTTTATTTTTTTTATGGAAAGCTTTTGGCAACGCAAGTCAGGAAGGGTGTTTAAAGTGGTCAGTGCTGACTCATTTAATAACAAGTCATTTAAACAGTTGAGGAAAGGCAAAGACAGGGGAAAAAGCACTTTCCAGGATGTGGCTCCACCAGCGACTTCCTCAGCTGCCACTGGGTACCTGTGTGCTGGTCTAGCAGCAGCTGGGCATCTTCACAGCTGTAGGAGTCTGTCTGGAGCTCTTCTAAAGAAGCACTCTGAGAAACGGCAGAATTAGGTTTTTGTCAACCTTCACAGTTAGACACTTAGGAAAAGTTTACTGAGAGGGAACTTTGAGCTCTCTCTGTGTATGTTCCAGAAAAAACAATGTCAGTTTTCATAGTTGAAGGTGACCTATCCTCCCACATCTGGAGTGTAGACCTGTGCGATAACAGCTTGCTGATCAGCCTTCAGAAAGCCACTTCTGTCACCTGCGCTTTGGAGAATGATTGTGTGCTGACGTGTTACCGACCATGTTTTTCCAACTTTCTGGCTACAGGAGATCATGTCAGAGGTTTTGGACTTGGCTTGACCTATATAATCAAAATAAAAGCTTAAATAACTGTAAAAAGCCTATGATACCAATGTTTCTGAATTTTGTTACTATCAGTCTTAGACCCTGAATAAGTTAATAGCCTTGAGGTGGATAAACCAGATCTTTTCTTTACTATGGTATCATTTCTTTGCTTTCTCTGAAGCTAGCTAAAATAATTCCCATTTCATTATATAACATTACATAATGTTCTGCCGGTATTGTGTTTTTCTGGAAGTTGCTGGAGTTACGTATTAGAGCCCAAAGAAGAACCAGCAGCTGATGTTATCCCATTTATGTGAAAAGCTCACTGATGTAGTTTTCAGACTGAAGGTATGGCTTGAGAATAGCCATACTGGATCAAGCTAGAGGCCTGTATATAATCAGTGACTTTTAATCGTTGTTTTGTTTTTGGTGTGGGTGGGGTTTTTTTGGGTGGTTTGTTGTTTTTTTTTTTTTTTGTCAGTTACCAGTGATGTCCCTCAGGCACTGATACAGAGGCCAATGTTGTTTAATATCTTTATTAATGATCTGAACGTTGAGATGATGGGCCGGTGTGTTCAACCGACTTGTCCCATCCCCTACAGCAAGCTGCAGAGCGTCTGATCTGCTGGAGAACAAGGCTGCTAGACTCAGGGACAGGCTGGAAACATGACCTGACAAGAAGTTCCTGGAGTCCAACAAAGGCAATACCAAGTCCTGTGTCTGGGCCAGGATAACACCACACAACAGTACAGGATGGGGTCAGCTTCCTGAGAAAACCTTTACGAGGAAAGACACGGTGGTCCTGGTGGACAAAGCGATGAACAGCAGTCAGCAGTGATGTTGTTAGCAGGAGTGTAGGAAATGGTTCTTTTCTACTGGGCTGGCACTGTGGGACAGCACCTGGAGTACCATGTCCAGTCTGGGGCTCCTCAGTACATGGGAAAACATTGATGTAGTGGAGCACGTGACAAAAGAGGAGAGATTGAAGGAAGCGTGTTTGTTCCAGCTCAAGACAAGACCAGTGGCAGAGTTTACTGCAGTCTACAACTACCCAGCTAATGGGCAGGTATGGAGAAGACGGCGATAGACTGATCCTAGATGTGTGTGGTGATAGGACAAGAAGCAGTGGATGGAAGTTGGAACATGGGAAAGACTGAGATATGAGAAAAAGCCTTTTCCAGTGTAGGGGTGGTGAAGCACTGGATGAAGTCTGCAGAGCACTTGCAGATTCTTCAGTTCTGGAGGTGTTCAGAACCACTTGGATGAGGTCTTGAGCAACACTCTAACTGGACTTGGTTTGAGCAGGGAGCTGGTAACCCTGGAAGTCCCTTTCATCACAAGCAAGTCTGTGTTTTGGTGTTGATTTTTTTTTTTTTTCATGGAGGAATGTATAGTAATGAAAAGATCTTGCTACCAAGGAGTAATGGTTAGCTGGGACCTAGCTTTCATGTAGTAGGATGGTACTTTCCTATGTGTATCACTTTAATCTGCAGTGTTTTTTCATCTGACATTTTTTCCCTTGTCAGCGTTGCAAAATGTTTCTGCAGTTCTGTAGTAAGATCTTATCTTTACTGTCCTGAATAACTTCGGATCACCAGCAAATTTTCATCATTTTACTACCTGCTTATCTCTCCTCCCTGTTTATGATTATGTAGAAAAATCCATGTCCCAGTCCAGGTTTCTGTAAACTCCATTGGTCATCTCCCTCTATTAAAGTAATCAATCATTTACTTTCTGCATCTTCCTTCTCATCATTCGGTCTCTTAAGTAGTTAAATATTCATATTGAGAGAGTTGCTTAGTGTCCTTTGAAACCTTTGGTATGGACTTTGTTTCCTGACTTTTTTTCTTTCAGCAGAGTGCCTCCTTATCCATTCAATCAGTGATCTCTACAGAGAAATCTGGTTGTTTTGTGAGGCAGGAATTACACTGACAAAACCGTGTTTAGTCTTTGCCAGCACCTCTCATTTATTTGGGTATCTGCTACTTCTGCTCTTCCTAGGGTTTTTTATTGATTTGCCATGTGCAAGTGTTAGACAACCTCCATACATCAACTGTCCATCAAGTTTTAAGCAGGAGACTGCATGAGAAAGTTGATATATTCCATTGCATCTTTGAGTTCCTTAAAATCTTAGAGAATAATGTCTTTTTTTTTTTTCCATTTTATCTGATGTTTTCCTAGGCTCTTCTGCAGTCACTTTGATTCAACACAGGTTTTCAGACTACATCACACAAATATATTCTGGTGTAGGGATCACTTCACTTTCCTTCTCTGTGCTCAATTACAAAAAATAGCTGATCCTGCTCTGTTCTTATTTTCTGTCAAAGGGATGGGGCAAAGCTGCATTAAGGAAGTAACTGAGTTATATTAGAGTTATAACTCCCAAATAAATGGACTGTAATAGCTGGCAAGTTAATGTGCATTTAGTGGAACTGATGTTATTCTCCATGGAACTGAAGAAGAGTGTTCTATCGAAGAGAGGTTTGAGAAGTGTAAAACTGTAGACATGGAGTTCAGTACGCTACCTTTCTGTGACCACTGGTCTTTTGAATTTTGTCTGTAGGCTAGCAGTATCTTTGGGGAAGCTGTTTTGTGGTCTCATTGGCTTCAAGTCCTCAGGTGACTGGAAACTACAAGGTTGCTCATGTTGTACCCAGTAGCCACAGAACTCCGAACAGCAACTCATGTTCAGTTCTTCAGTATACTTGTAGATGTTAGCATGTCTCCTTATTGAAGGGTATTTCCTCTGGGTGTACTAAAGGAGCTTTGTAAAACGTATATTTTGGGGATGCATGCATGTGTGGGACCAGTACTGGCCAAAACCTGTGCAAGAGATTTATATATGATAAGTGACAGAGATACATGATACCTTTCAAGGGGTGTTCATTTCTTCTAAACTTAGTAGCTGCAAAACTAGTATTCTTGGGAATTATTCAGTCATGGATTTGTCTTAGTGTTGGAGGTTTTTTTGCTATCAGCTTTAAAGCAGAGTCCTCTATTAAGAGCACTGTTAGACTTGTGATTTGGTATCACTAGCTTTTTGTTTTTGGAAGTCTACAAAAACTGGGGGGCAGGGGGGAAAACCCCAAATGTTTTCCCTGTTTTTCCTCCACATCATTCATCAGTCTTTATGTACAAGCTGATGGTTGAACGTCTTGTATTGCAGTACAGGCTCATTACATACCTACTTTTGAACTTTTTGCAAATCAAGTGTTCTGTGTGTGCTGTAGAGACTAAATAGAAGGGTCTCTCATACTTTCTCATTCCCTTGCTGAACTTCAGCGTTTAGTCTAAGCTCTCATCCATTTCAACTTATTTGCATTTCTCGTACAGCAGATGCACAGAGAGATTTGTTCCAGCAAGTCCTTTCTCTGCCTGGTTTCACTAGACATTTTTTTTTTGGTACTTCTAGGTCTATCCCTTTCCCACTTCTAAGGTGCTAAAAGGTTCTTACATTGTTGGCTGTTCTTGCTCCAGTATGGTGCCAGGACTTGCACTTTGCCCCTTATGGCTCTTTTTGGTGGGTGGGAAAGTGCCTTTTTTGAAAAAAGTAGGGTAATCCATATTTGTCTTAAACTCATTGGGTTCTTCAATGTATCTGAGGGGGAAAAAAGAAATATTTGAGTGCACCTCTTTTAAAATGCTTCTTGACACTGTTCTTTATCCTCAATACTTAAACAGTTGTGGTAACTAGCAAGCAAAGCTCCCCTTTTCCAGGATTTTCTTCTTTGAATTAATTTGGTACTTCAGACTTGGCACTACTGTTGAGTAATGAAATTATGAATTGCAGTGTAGAGGCTTGCGTTGTAACTTGTACTGAGCGAAGCAAACCTTGCTAAACCCTTCCTAGTTTTACATCCAGTACTGCAGAGAAACCGTGCCGTGGGTGCGGAGTCATGAGCACAAACTGCTGTCGAGCCTGGAAGCATATGGTACCCTGCCTGCATACAGAGTTGTACCTCATTAGTTTCAATTAGTCATTACCTCCCTGACTCTCCTCCTCCCTCTGGTTCCATAGGTGGTGTGGGTTAAGTTGTGAGCTTGTGTTTTGTGTTACAAATAATCCTCCACTCAACAGAAATTCTGTTTTTTGGAAAACGAAGCTTGCAGCAGCTCAGCTGTTACTCAGCCTAAGGGAGCTTGATTCTTTCTCTTTGATTTATGCAGCAAAGTTAATCTGAGGAGTTTGTCATCTGGATGTAGATAATGTGATTACTTCGGTCACGGAATCGGTTGTATCTCTGTGCCGATGCGATTGCAGGTTTCCCTTGACTGAGACTAGTTTTTAATTGACAGCTATTTAATAATTGAAGCTAGGTGGTTATGAAACAGCAAAAGGGAAATAGCAAATCACTTACAGATGTGTTTTTTAAGGTATGCTGGGGAGCACAGGTGTGCCTTTGAATATTCTAAATAGGTAAATACAATTATTTTCATATTAAAAATTAATGATGTTAACATCACTAGTGATATTCAGCTCTACATGAAAAATGACACTTGAACATTTTATCACATGAGCAACAGCACTACTGTGAAACAGCTGTGATTTCAGCTTTTTTTTTTTTTTGGTCAACCCTTGGATGGTGAAATTGGCTTTGAGTTAAACTTGGCTCCTACTTTATAACGTTCAGTACCTCAGTCTTTGATGTGATAAATGAGTCAGAGTAACATTTCAAGTAGCTGAAGAAAGATGCTTCTTACTGACATAGCTGAAAATCAATTGCTCTTTTTCAATGGAGTCTTATCTTTCACATTTATGGGATCTGATTAATGGCTTTTCTATAGATTAAACAAATATTTGTAGTTCTCCAGCAGAATGAGTATTAAATCAAAACTGCCTCACCGTGATCCTGCACAAAAAAGAATTAGAGCTGCTTTCTTGCTATTCAGCATTGTTAACAGATGGTTTTAGACAGATTAGGTAGGGAAATCCCCAAAGGATGAATTATGAATTAATGATTCAAACAACTCTGACTATAGTTTACTTAAAACTGTTTTGTGGCTCTATGAGCCTATGGCTTTCTGCGTGGATTTGTTTTATGTTTATTAATACATTGACAAAGCATAACCCTTGCTAGATAGAACCTTAAAACAATAATTTTTACTCCGAGTTGTATTGCATTCCATCAATAGCCTTATTTAAAACCAGTGGGGTAAATGGGTAGTGATATAGACTCTACCCTCAGTTTGCAACTGTTACTCTACTCTAGATACTGAATGGGATGATTTCTTAGTTTTATACATAAAAGGATTTCTCAAATGGTAAAGTAACTTATAAACACAAGTTACAAAAATCATGTATGAGAAAATCCTAAGGTTCTTTCATATGTATATAGAAAAATACAAAAAATTATTCAGTTGCTTTTTCTTACAGAAAATTTTTGTTTTGACTTTTTGTATTAAGCAGAATGAATATAAACATCTATAACAGACAAATCATGTATTTTCAAATAACATCAAAGTAAAATTGTAGTGTAGTAAGCATGGGTTTTGAGGTGTAATCAGTAAAAATTGTCCAGAAGGGTAATACTGCCCACAGTTGCAAGTGCTTAGTAGAGAATCACAGGATGGTTTGGGTTGGAAGGGACCTTAAAGACCATCTAGTTCCAACCCCCCTGCCATGGGCAGGGACACCTTCCACTAGACCAGGCTGCTCATAGAATTAATTTGTAGGAGTTTGATCAATGTATGGAATATTCTCTTTTAATTATCAAAGATTCTGTATTGCATCTCAATGTTACAATTAAATATTCTTAAACTTTTCCAACTGAATGAGTTTTTGTTGTCCTTGAGCTCTTCAAGGAAGCAATCTGAAGACTATACAGGCTCTTTAACATAAAAAAGATATGGTACCTGGATTATATGAAGTTTTTGTTTTGTTTTACACTCCCACAGGTGGGTAGTAGTTAGATTTGCATAGCCTATTCCAGAGCACATTGTACTTCTCTATTAATCCCTAGGGCATATATGTGCTTTTCGAGACAGAATACCAGGTGTTGCTCTGAATTGAAGTGGTATGTCAAAATGCTCCTAAGGAAACCTTCCCTATAAAAGGCTGAAGGAACC